ATCGATGTTGTTACGTTCAAGGTTGTATAAGTACTTTGTAAATTAATCTTTCTTTTCAGATTGTTGCCTACATAATTTTGTTTGCTTTATAATGCAAACGGTTTTCAATAAATGCTTTTCAACGAGAGAGATATCTTTTACTTTATAATTTACTGTTTATTAGTCACAATATTCATCATGAAGTCAAGTTGCTCTTTCTGCAAATCGACATCTTTGCTGCAAAATTAATTAGTTAATATTATGTAAAAGGGGATATCTTTCCAGCGGAATTTAGCTGACATTAGGACTGTTCATATCATTAAAATATTAAGGTTAAAAGTTTTTCACAAATTACATTTTTTTTTTATAGAAAAGCAAAATATTTTATAAAATACGGCACAAAAAATAACGTATGCTACTTTTATCAACAATGGTATTGCATAACTAATTTTCAAAGAAAGCTGAGTTGTATGGTTCGTTAAGGTTTTGACAATGATAACATAAGGTACGAGACAAAAAATTATCACGGTGCAATTTTTTAAGAATTTTTTATTATCTAGACCTTTGACTAAGTAATACACCCAGTAAAAGTTAATTTAGTATACAAAAATGCTTTTTTCAGTGATATTTTTGCATCAAATAATTTCTGATCTGTGAAAACTCAATTGCGTCAAGAAATTTTGAGACAAAAAATTATCACGCATCACTTTTTGTATCAAAATTAATTAGAAAAAAGTAGTATGCGTAGTTGTTGTTTATTTGTATGATATGCAATTGTTTGTTAGAACTGATAAAGTATCGAAATATAATTGGCTGAGCTACAATAATTTTCTTTCGCCATGGGCAAAGAAAACGATCTAACAGAACGTGAAAAAGGACAGATTGAGGCATACTATGACCAAGGTTTGACTTTTGCGGAAATAGGATGAAAGATTGGAAGAGATCGGACCACAATCTCCAAGTTTGTAAGAAAGAAATACAGTGAAAATGGACGACAAAATTGTGGAAGAAAAGAAAATCTCACTGCACGTGCCAAAAGATCCATTGTGACTCCGGGTATAAAGGATAACATGTCGTCTCAAATGATAAAGACGACCCTAGGACTTCCTGTTCACAAAAGAACAGTTTTGCGAGTACTGGCTAATGACAAAAATCTTAAATATGCCAAATATAAGAAACAACCAATGTTGACAAAAGAACATATTCAAAAACATCATGAATGGGCCAGAGAAATGCAAACGAAAAATGAAGAATGGTTCCAGATAGTTTTTTCAGATGAAAAGAAAGTTAATCTTGATGGTCCTGATGGTTTTAGATATTATTGGCACGATTTACGGAAAGAACCAAAGTATTTGTCAGAACGAGTTCAAGGAGGTGGCAATGTTATGGTCTGGGGTGCCTTTAGTAGCTTAGGAAATAATAACTTAGCATTAATCAAATTGAATGGACTCTCTGAATTACCAAGATGTGACCTCAAACCACCTTTGAACCTATTTCAAGACAGCAAAGTTATTTTTCAGCAAGATAATGCGTCGATTCATGTGTCTAATTCATCGAAAACGTGGTTTCAACGACAAAATATAGCTTTGCTATAATGGCCTGCGAAAAGCCTACATCTCAACCCTATTGAGAATGTATGGAGTTCTCTTGTACTAGAGGTTTATAAAGATGGGAAGCAGTACGCAACAGTTAATGAATCGAAAGATGGTATCTTGACGGCTTGGGAGAATTTGGACGTCAATTACTTCATCCCTTTTGTCAATTCTATGAAGCAACGCGTCTACAATCTCATAGAAGCAGGAAGAAAATACATTGGGTATTAAATTAGTTTTCATTTAGTTAGTTAGTTATTTCCCTTTTAAGCGTGATAATAATTTGTCACAATAAGTCTGTTAAAAAAATTACATATTTTCAATAAATTTCGTTCAGTTTTGTGTTTTCTGTGAAAATGTTTTATTAAATTAATTAAAAATGGAATTGCTCAATCAAGCAGGTATCTTCACTTTCTTTTAATACATTTAGGCAAAAATTCTGCACCGTGATAATTTTTTGTCTCGTACCTTATTTATAAACAATCACGTTAATGACTTTCACACCAAAAAATTTGAAAAAAACAAGATTTTTCAGATGTAACAATCGATTAAAATATGATTATAGGACGACATCAACTCATATTCAACTGTTACTACTTCATTTTAAGGTTAACACATATCATATAAGTAGCAATTTTACAGTTCTACTTTTCAAAACTCACGACTCTTATGTGTCAAATTTTAAAAATCTATGTATTTTATTTTTGTTAAATTTATTAAATCCTTTTACTTTTACTTTTAATAAAATTTGATGTGTATTCCTTTTCCTAAACAAACTGAAACTGAACTTTTGAAAAAACCAAAAAAAAAAAATCAATAGCTGGGGCGTATTTTTCTCTCGTTTTCTTTTTTTATTAATTAAATTTCTTCATGTTTCTACCACGAAGCAAAATCTTTGAATTTTTCAAATTTGCCGTGTTAAGCTAAGAAGGTGTCGAAGGCGAATTTATAAATAATTATGTTCCAAAAAAGATCTAAAAGAAATCTACTAGTTATTGATTGCAGTGCAGCTTCAATGACGTCATCTCAAAATTTTGACAAATAAATCCTATCAGAAATAATGCAAAATATCTTGAGTCAAATAAACTTGTGATTTATTATTGCATTTATATTTTTTGGAATTACTTATTCCGGGTGACTAAAAAAACTTTATGAATGAGTCAGTTTATTTTATTGATTAAACCAAAAACGGGTCACTCCGTTTTCTATAAATTTGGGAATAGAATACTGTTACTTAGTATTACACTGCACCTGTCGAAATTGATACAGATGTCCTTGCAAAAATGTTGATGACGTCATCTCAAAATTTTGTAAATAAAAAACTCATTTGAAACATACCCGTGGCACGCTAAGACAATTAAGGTGTGTATATTCTAAAGTCTAAAAAATTAAAAGAGACTTTTGATCACAAACCAAGCAGGTACCTCTCACTTTTTGAGTGGCAGGAAAAATTGGAAAACAGCTTAGGCAGAAAATCGAATTCAGCGAATTATAAGTTACTTGTCTGAATTATTGTCAGACTATTGATGATTAGTTAATTTAGGCGTAAATTTCATTTGTTGTTTCAGCGAGAGCAATAACTTTAGCAGCCAAGGCAATGAAGTGGGATTTTGTGTTCTGACGTTTGAAGCAAAAAAAGTACAAAGTTTAAAATCTATTATTTCTTATATATTCGGATAGATCCAGAAAAAATATCTCTGAATATCTTTCACTTAAAAATTTGGTGGTACACACTAAATATGATGATTTTTTTTAATCGGTTTTATGTATCACATCCTGGACCGTCGGGTGTTAGCATTAGGTCAGCACAGAACTACGGCAACTTTAAGCTGATTAGACTTTAAAAATACAAATTCTAAAACGCTCTGCTTTTCTCTGTTTTTCTTAGATACCTTTGTTCCTTTTTTTATAAAAGTGTATTAAAACAATTCACCTCAAAGGAAATTAAAACCACAAAATTCTTTGTTGCTTCTCGATAAACGATATATAAATGGGTGTGTATGTTTATTGTCTGAATATTTTTGTACTTTGTGCTCTAGACGTATTATGGAAGATATTCCAAGTTTGTTACGCAGCGTCAACCAAAAATTTAGGTTTGTTTTTGCCTCTTGAACGATCAGAGTATTTCTTTGGAATTATAAGCCCTCTTTATTTAAAATTTTTTTAAATGTTTTTTTGGAAAAATTGTATACAAAATCATAAACTAAAAGAATGCTATACTTACTTTCTAAGGAGATCATTGCAAACATATTATCTTAAAGTTTATACTATAATTTAAAATAAGTTTTACAAGGACATATGGTACCTTTGGTAATGATTTTGTTGGTTATTTTGCAAATAATAATTTCAAGCTACAGAACAATTGATTTCTACATTTTTATTGAGCATTTAAAGATAACTGTAAAATCGGGAGATTTTACAAAGAATTAGGAAAAGATTAACAGAATTACAGGACAACTCAAACTTTTTTTCATACTGGTTGTATTTGAAACAAAAGTTGAAATTTTTGGCTGATACTAGCAAAACTGTGACGCCATGGACATTTTTTTAAATAAACACTCAGTTTAAATTTAATAAGTACATACTTTAAAAAAAGGGTAAATATGTAATCGTCGACTATGTTACAACGTGTATCAATGAAATGCATACATAGAAAGTATAAAAATATTAAATACTCCTACTAAAAAAACAAAAAAAAAGTACACAAATAACCAAATAAGCATTTTTAGGTGGAATAGAGTTTAAGAACACATCGAAAATTTGGAAAAAACAATAATCACTTTGTTTTTATAGTTACTTTTGTGTACTGTAAAGTTTTCCTAATGTATTAGGCCCAAAAAAGTTAATGTTGTTATAATTTCGAAAGAAGTAATCAAAACTTCTCAAATTTTTTGTTGAAACACAAACCACGAAAATAAAAAACATGTGCTGTTAAAATTTTGATCATAAAAAACGTTTAAGTGCGAGTTAAGTGAGAACACATTCCCGATTTTTTTTTTTAAATTCGTTCCACACATTGAAAACACACAGTATTAAAACAATCTTAAAACTGTTAAAAGTTTTCATCTAAAATTGTTAAAATTACTATCAGCTAACACCCGCTTTTCAACCGACAATCTTGTCAAACCACAGTCTAACTTTCAAACATCCCCGCAAAAATCCATCTTTATCACTTTTTCTCAACTTTAAAATTCCGAATGAGTGAAAACAAAAAACCGCCGATATCTTCCGGGCGCAGCTAATGAATCCATCAAGCGTCGCAATTAATCCAGCAACGCAATTACCAAGAATCCCCGAAAGTCCCGAAAGAAAAGCACGAAAGCTCCGCGAAAGCTATCCCGAAGAGCGCGCGCTCAGATTCAACAAGTCCTCTCCGTCCCTCGGAAGTCTCGGAACACTCAGTGACAGAACATGCGGTGTGGTACTTACGTGTAGTGCGGGTGGCTCGGAGCCCCTGCGGTGGACTGGCGGGTCGCTAGTCCATGTCGGGCAGTAGAATGCCAGGGGCCTGCCGCCTCGTCGTGCCCGTCGCCTCTGACTCGCGCCACCGACTCGGCCGTACTCTCGTCCTGCAGATTCGCGATTGCGCAAGGACTCGCTCACCACGCGCCGACTGCCAGCACCAGGTCTCCGTCGCTGATATCATCCCCGCCGGCCCACTCAAAACGGCCCCATTGGTCGTCTCACGCATGCCATTTGTCATGGTCGAGCCACTTGTTGGACTCGACCGGAGGGACCATCGATGCGATGTAGATGGATTTGGGGAGAGGGTTAATGGGTGAGTGATGGTGCTTCCGGATCGGGAAGAGGGGAAGGATGAATATGATGAAGTTAACTGAAATTTCTGATGCTTAATTCACTTTTTGCTTAGCGAAATGTACTTTTTAAACTAACTGGAAAAGTATCACAGTGACACAGTGCTGAGATAATATGTTGTATTTATACAAACAAAAGTTATTTTATTAACAACTACAAAAATAACTTATGGCATATAAACTTGACTGATGAAAAAAATATTTTCAATGATATTTATGTTAAAATGATACGTAGTTGCAAGAGTTTAGGTATTATTTCCCGGCGCATCCACCAATTTTTTGCCTTTTCTTTAACGATGAAATTTTGAGCGGAGCAAAATTGGTTCAAGTTCAAACTAAAAAAGTTGTCGAAGATTATTTAGACTGAACTTAATCGGCCCTAAAGTATAGTCCAACAAATCAGCGATTAAAAGAAAATAAAATTTGAATGATTTTGTCTCCTCAATGCAGAAGAAGGGACTGATTATTTAATTAATAACACTCAATTTTTTCCCCAAAAACATGCAGAAATTAAAGAATATCCTGCAAGATTGTAAGATGACAAACAAATTTTGATTAACGGTTTACGATGCTTCTAGTTACCATACAATATTTGCAAGATTTCACAGCATTCGGTTTTTACAGTTTCAAAGTTATATAGTAAAAAATTGTTACAAAATTTAGACTTTTTCCCCCAAAGGCCTGGAGTGAAAACTCAAGACCGATTTATAAATCACACATAGAGAAACATGTTATTTTATATAATTTAAAAAACTTTTATACGACAGAATCATAAGATGACGTGATCATTTTTTGATTTATCATGCTTTAAAACGTTTGCAAGAGTTCAAAATTAAATTTAAAAATAAAATTTGTGATTTTTTTTCCCAAAAATCTCGATGTCAAGGGATTCATAAACTACATCCGCCGGGGTATCTTATTTTGTAAAATTTAAATAATATTTACTATTGTAAATTTTGGTCATGACGTCATCCTATTCTTGGTAGGGATGATTATCGAAATTTTGGTTAGCGTTTTACCACGATGTTAATAATACACATACGAACTTTGACAAAAATCGAACCAACAAACTGATAGAACAGAATCGGGAGAGTATTTTTTCGTACTCTAGAAGTCATGAAACGTCGAGAAAACATAAAAATAGCAAGTCGTCCAATCAATTACAATACTCCTTTAGCTTACGCTCAAGAAATAACAAAAACGTAAGGTGTTTATTTAAATTTTATAATGGTTTCTAAAACTTACAATATACTTCCTGAGAAAATTGACCACATATACATTCTACTTTTTAAGATCACATTAATTTTTTTCTGACATTTCAAATATATTGAAAAAATAATTTCTCAAATAAAGTTAAACAGAAGCAAACAACAGACAAAGGAGCATGTTACAAAATAAATTTCAAGTGAGATTTAGGACAAAATTTTGTAGTATTTTTCAAAAGATAGATAGATCCGTTATTATTTGCAAAATAGAGATCAATTTCAAAGTAATGAATATTTTGTTTTTTCCAGAGAGTGTTTAATACATATATTTACAATAATCAGACAGCTGGAAACGAAAAACCTACACTTTCATATTCTAGGAGACATGAAACGCCTTGAAAACAACATCGGAAACATTTCTCAAAATGTACTTCATTATAGAGTTTCCTTGAGCTACCACTCGTCAGTGAAAAGTAACATTTTAAACTTAATTATAATTAAAATAAATACGTTTTATTAATACTATGTGTAAGTTTTACAAAATTTATTTCTTGAAAGATACGTCGTTATATCAAAATAAAAGTAGAGGTGAATTATTAAATCAGAGATAAAGCACTATATTATTTTACATATTACAAACGAAATTTTCTTAATACGATTGACATTTTTTAAATTTGATATTGTACAAAAATAGAAGCAGCACTACTGTGTGTCTATAGTTTTATGTGCGTCTTTTATTACGAAGTAATCCTACATAAAAAGCTATAAAATAATAATAACCCAATGTTCAAACGGAAACTGTAAAACTTTATTTTACATGTTTTTGTGCCTCCGGACAGAAACAGCCGAAAACGAACATTTCCCGGACTAGACCCTTGCAAAAATGTCACTAAAAACTTCGAAGATCTCTATACAGAGGAATGGCAGCACTGCCTGCCAGTCTAGATTTTTACGGGTGTGAACAACAACTTTAAATAAAGAATTATGTGACGGTTAAACTATAATTATTAAATATTTAGCAACCTTGACATAAGTTTTTACACACAAGTGAATTTCGAAGGGAGTTCTGCAAATCATACAAGTACCTTAAGATTAAAATGATTAAAAAAAAATTAAACAAACTTAAAATAAAGATTCAGATCTGAATTTGCAAAGTCAATCGTTAATTTCTTTTCTGAAAATCAGTTTAATAATAATTTACTTTCAACAATATTGGCCAAATTTTTCTTTATATGGATTTATTTTCATTTATCTAGACAATTATTAACATTCTAAAATTCAAATAAACGACAGCTGTTAAACGTTAATTACACTAATTTTGTTGTTAACAGAAAGTGTGTAATAGACATAAGTATGCAACGTTGATTTAAAGTTAAAATGTATCATAAGGTATTTAGAAATTACTGATAACATTATTGTGGAAGTGTTGAATTTTTGTTTTCTTAAATGTAATAAAATTTGGTCTTGCTTCGTCGTATGCATCAATTCTCTATTCAGACTGCCCGTTATCTGTAGTATTATGCTCAAATATTTTTTTAGGTTATGACACACATTAACAACGATTGACTAAAGTATCTCAAATTTCGTTTAGATTCAGCAGCTTCTAAAAAGTTTAACACCACATTTTTCAAAAGAGTGACTTAAACTTAAAACGTAGTTGTAACAATTTTTATGTTTAATATAACGAGTGATCAAAAAATTTTTCATAAGTTCATGCATAACCTCATTTGTATATCAATAACTAGAGTTTTTGACATTTGCATTTTAATCAAAGACATGACAAATATTTCCATGGCCAACTCTAATCAAAAAACGTTTTGATCAGGCATTATTCCTATAGTAAAAGCTTTGTGAACTAATACCAAGCATGTGATATTGATTGTCAAAAATTTAATAAAAAGTCAGTGAGTCAACGGATGAAAGTTTAAGACGTTGTAAAAATAATCCACTTGCTACGATTAAATTAACTGAACCAATTTGATTAATTCAAAATCCAGGAATTTTGAAGAAGTTTTGTTTAAGTGATCCTAAAGACGATAGTAAAGCGATTCGAATGTTCAATGGAAAATGATATAAACACATTTAAAATTATGGAAGTTAAAGTAGCTTGAAATAGCGCGAGATCGGCACCTACCGTGACAGTGAGATATAGCATAATAAAAGAACTCAAGACATAACACAATGCTTACCGTTTAAGAAATAGTCGATGAAAGCTGCTACATCTATAACATTTTTATGCTCTGTACTTGTACTAGAACACGATGAATATGTAGATCTCAGTCATCGAAATGATTAACTGGATAAAAGTTTTGAAATGTTCGGCACTATACATCCAGGCACGACACTTTTTTTTCCATCTAGGAATTGTAAAAATTTTCCACCAACAAACTTCTCAGATTGATTAATCTCTCGTCTGGTTATACATTTATTATCGTTGAGATTTATTGATAACTAAAGACATAACATATAGGAGTAATATTTAATTGGAACTGTTTTTGATAAAAAAAATATTTTATATGGTATATTTATATTAAACCTAAATGTTAGATATTGTTTCCCGGCGCCTCCACCAATTTTTTGTCTCTTCTCTAATAAGTCTGAAATATTGTACGTTGCAAAAATGGTTTAAGGATTCTCTATATTGAAACATTTATTTTAATGTAACAAAAGAGTTCTAAGAAACACTAAACAAAAATGTAAAATCCTTCACCGTAAATTAACTCTTAAAGGTGTTAATAAAATGAGAAAGCAACAAAATCATGAATCAAAAGAGCCATGGATTTCTGAAGATTTGTCTTTGATAGAATATTCGTTTTGTCAGATTACCGTCAATTTGAAAGTTTGAATTCAAAATCAAAGAAAAAATTTCAAAAATTCATGACTGCCTTTGACTGAGTTTTCTATTGTGCTCTTGGTAGAAGTGGTGGAATAGATTTGTGTTTACCTATATAATCCGTAGGGCCCGGAAATATATGTACAGACTGTATATATGTATTGCATTATATGACTAAAATATGTACAAAATATGCAGGATATGAGGATATTTTATTGGAAAAATGGTGTTTTCATACATTTATATTTATGGCTAAAATAATAGTATCTTCATGTTTAAGTAAATTTTATTAATCATGGGCATACGACTACACCCTATTGATAAAATAGTTAATGACTTATAAATAATTAATTCAAATAAAACTTGTTTTGTTTTACACTACTACATGGCATCTAATTTTAATCACTTGAACTTAATAAACAGTTGAGGTAAATATTTAAAGAAATTATTTACTTCTAAATATCTAAAATTACTTTGTGGACATATTGAAAAATTTCGAATTCATGTGATTGAGTCATTTTTTAAAACTAGCTGATGTTAACATTTAAAATGAATCCTTTTAGTTATAAACAAAAAATTTTCAGCATAAAAAAAAGCCACTTTCAATCATATTTCCTTTGTGATTTCTACATCTTTCAGTGGTAAAGAAGTAGCGAATAGTCTTTGTTTTTATAATCTAACTCTTACTGACATTTAAAAAAAATACTC